GCCTAGACCCTTCTTCTGAAGAACGGTCTAGGCCCGAAACGTCAGCCTTCCTGCTCCTCTGATGCTGCTTGGCCTGCTGTGTTCATCCAGCTCTACACCTTGTTATCTCAGATTCTCCAGCATCTGCAGTTCCTACTATCTCTATATCAAAAAAAAAAATCTGGTTTCATTCATCACCAACAGGTTTGGGACTGAGATTACAAAGTGCGACCATTTAGCTGAGGCTAATACAGAGTTAAACAGATTTGCAGACACCTCACTTTACAGGGGGCTTTCCTGGTATTATTTTAAGAGAAGTTTAAATGGCAAACGTGGATCTAATTACTTACCTCAGCATATAGAGGTCTTTGAACAACATCCAAGTTTGGGCTGACAAGTGACAGCCAACATTAATATCACTGGCTACAATCTTCTTCAGAAAGGCCCCTGGTATCTTACCACTGACAAGGATATTTTACCCTCGACATCTTGGGGCTTACCGCTGACCAGACGCTTAATCAGCCCAGCAAAATTAACACATTTAACGTTAAATAAATACATGAGTTGCTGTAATCTGTAAAACCGAACTTGAAATGTAACATTAGAACTCCAAAGCGTGCAAGATTATGTGTAACCAAGACTTTAGATTAGGGCAGCTATTAACACTTACATTATGACACTCATCAAGGAAAAGGTATGACGTGCAAACCATGTGAATAAGGTCCACTTACCTTAGCCAGTGTGAGATTAAGAGGGAGTGAGAAAATAATTCTAGAAATGTTAATACCTGTATGTGGTTCCTAGTTGAATGTAGTGAAAGGCATCAATCTTCATCACTATTCCCTTGAAACAAAAAGGGAAAAAAAATGTCATTTGAAAATACAGAGATTGCCTGAACAAATTTATTTAATACCAAATACGTCAATATACGTTTAGATATTCTTAGGCCAAGCCTTCAAAGGAGGTCAGTTTGCAATTGCTGACGACATCAAGATGATGTGGGATTGTGTTTTTTTAAAATCATTCTTGGGATACCAGCATTACTGCCAAGATTAGCAATTAAAAAGTTATAATTATATCCCGAGTTGTGCTTCTAAAGATGGTGAACAGTCTCCCTGAGCACATCTGCTGACTGTGTGGTGAAGGGACTGCCACAGTGAGGTTAGTCAGGGAGCTTCAGGAACTTACCCCAACAAACATGTAGGAACAGCTGATTATATAAAAGAGAGTTGGTTGGTTTGGGAGTTGTAAAAGAGCTGGAAAGTCGCTGAACGTTCCTACGCATTTCTTGCCCTTTCTCCTTCTTTGAAAGGATTTTGCTGAAAGATCGTGGTCTGGAGGAAATACATATACAGTATTTCAAATCCAGTTCCTGATCAAACATTGCTGTGATGTCCAAGTTCTGGGCTCACCCACAACAGGAACCATTCTTTCCACATTCGCCTTGTCAAGACCACTCAGGGTCTTATACATTTCAATCAATTCACCCCCCTCACTCTTCTGAGCTCCAGTGGAAACAAACCCAGTCTGTCCAACTTCTCCTCATAAGACAACCCACTCATTCCAGGTATTAAAATAATAAACCTCTTCTGAACTGTCTCCAATGCATTTATATCCTTCTTTAAATAAGAAAAACAAAAGTACACACTGTATCTGAGATATTGTCTCAAAAAAAAAATTCACATTTTCCTACATTCTACTCTAACTGCCAGATTCTTGTCCACTCACTCAACCAATCTATATCCATCTGCAAGCTTAAGTCTTCATTAGAACGCATTTCCTGCCTATGTCGGTGTCATTTGACCCAGCTGTTACAGCATTCAAGAAGATCTTTGCAGTTCTTCTACCTAAGCTTCACATCCCATCCTATAATTATACCTTTTTACACTTACAAGACCAAAAATCCATCAACCTCAGGCAACAATAGAGCATCCATAGCTCTCTAGGGTAAAGAATTCCCAGAATTTACAACACTCGTAGCAAAGAGAAATCCCTTATCTCAGTACAAAACAGCTGACCCCTTGTGGAGGTTCCCAGTCTAAGCACTATCAACATCCACCTTGTCAAGACCACAAAGATTTTTTATTCAGTATTACAGTCAGCAGGTCATTTGGCTAGTCAATTAATTTCTGGAATGATTGGGTAAGGAATGAGAAGTGCCAAGTGAATGGTTTGATTGCACCAACAAGGTCACAGCAAGGTCACTACATCGACAGCATCTTCCAAGCCTCTGCCACCCAGAAGGACAAGGGCAGTGAAATCATGAGGCCACCACTACCTACAAGATCCCCTCCAAGCCACCCACCATCCTGATTTGGAACAATATCGCTGTTCTTTCACTGGGTCAAAATCCTAGAATTAACTACACTGTGGGTTAACCTATCCCCCAGAAACTATTGCACCTTCTCATGGGCAATTAGGGAATGGATAATTAAAGCCAACCCGACCACTGACATCAACAATGTTTTTTTTTCACAAAACAAGCATCCTGGCAGTGGGTTGGAAGGACTAAGAACCAGAAATGATAGATCACGGTGCGACACACAGGTAGTGAAAAGAGAACATCTAAAATCACAGAAGACTAACACAGAAAATCATTAATTTTAAACAGATAAGGGAAAGGGCTCACTGTCTAAAACTCTCTTCTGCTTCTGAAATTACAATCATTGATAGCCGCTTTTTAATTGTCCGTTGGCAAGTTATGTTTAAGTTAACAGAAGTGAAGATTTTTCCCTCTGTTCCCCTGAACAAGAACAAGGCAGCTCCAACTGAACTCCCATTAGAAACCACTGCTTCATTCCCCAGATTGATGTGTAAAGAGGGACACTGAGATACAGCTTCTCCAACAGCTCAATGACCTTGAGCTCCAACCCATGAAGTATTAAAACAGAAGGTGATGGTTTCCACTGCTGACTTGCAATGGAATGTGATTGTATGTTACAGGCGACACAGGGAGAAGGAGGAAAGAAGGAGAAAAAACTTCCTGCTCCTGATGATCACTGCCAGGGAAGTGGCCCGTGCAGGAACTTGGGCAGGAAACAGAAGTGGGCCCAGCAGAGATGCCTCAGCATGTGAATATCCTTGCCCGCCTTATGTTTCTAAGCTCACGTGCTGAGGTATCACTGGATTAATGGTATCCACGGAATCAGACCACAGCAAAGGCTGGAGCCTTGTGGAGGGTCAGGGAATGGAGCAGGCTTGAGGTGGGGAGAATGAAGTAAAACACAGAACCAGCCCAAACACAAAAAGCACTAACCTTTTGTACATCGTAATGAAGTCCACGTATCACAAAGTTGGGATTGTAATCATAGTTCCTCAGGTCTTCGGGATACTAAGGCACAAATCAGACACATTTCATTGCAGCAAGTATTACATTCCACAGGAGACAAGGTTGGGGTGGCCTTTATAAAAATGCATCGCGTTGCTCTATATCCCTTGGCTTGGACTTAGTAAATTCTAAAACAATGTAATCCATCCACAAGCATTTTGTACAACTAGATATCCAATGTGTTTAGTACCAATGTAAATAACATTTTTAAGTAATTCCATTAACCTTTCCTATTTTGAAGAAATTAAAGTAACAGCTCATGAGTAACGTATCAACTAGCTTTTGGTTTATCCCAGGGTCTTAGCAATTACATGTGACTTTGGTCTTATATCCATTAGTAGTTACACTACATCTGCACCATCTTAAACCAAGGACTGTTATCTGGGTCTACTAACAACTTGAATCTATATGGCACTTTTAATGCAGAAACGTCTAAAAGGTGCTTTACAGGAGTGTCAATAAATAACATGTGACGTTGAGCCACTTTGATTTTAATTAAAAAAGCTCAGATTGAGGCTAATTGGCTACCCTTCTCTCGTGGCACCAAGCCTGCTTTGGCAATAATGGCCAGTGACAGGAATGGGATCAGGGAACTGATGTGCCTGCCACCATCTCCCTTCTTGACCGCAGCAGGGCTTACAAATTTAGCCCAATGTCACTGATTTTTAAATACCATATCAGACGCCATTCACACTTTCCTGTGGGATGCTGGAAACAGCTAAAGTCCATTGGCAGACTTTTGGACAGGCCACAATTCCACCGAAAACTAAAAATTCTAAAATATGTGCACCCACAACCCAATCTCTCAGCTCCTTTCAGGCTTCCAAAGTTGTACAAGGTAATTGGGTTGAATGTTATTTCATAATACTGACAGCCCTGTAGCTAACAACACACCTACTTGGTAGATCAATACAATAATACAAAACATTGACTGGTAGACGTTGTAACTAATTCTGACACAGTACTTAATCATATCTTGCCAGCAGAGTAATTTATTAGAAATTACACTCCAGCCCTTCAAAGCTACTCGTTTTGGCTTAGATCCACTTTGAACTGAACATGTTTGCATTGCTGACTTACCCACCTTACCCAGTAGGCTTCTGAAACATATACTTTTATAACACTGCTCATTGAAATAGCACATTTCTGGTGATCGCTCAGCAGAAAGTTGGGCAGTTGTAAGTTGGTATCCCCACAGTTTCTGGGTATTGGACCTCAGGAAGGATTTATCAGCCTTGTCTGCAGTACACAAGGACAATATCCAGGCTGAACTTTTTTTAAAAAATCCATTCATATGATGTCACTGGTCAGGCCAGCATTTATTGCCCATCCCTAACTGCCCAGAGGGCAGTTAAGAGTGAATTACATTGCTTAGGTCTAAGTCACATGTAGAACAGACCAGATAAGGAAGGTGATTCCTTCCCTAAAGGACATTAGTGAATCAGGTGGAATTTTCTGTCAACCATCATCATCATCAGATTTGTAACTCCACACTGTTAATGGATTCAAATTCTGCAATTTGCCATGGCGGGATTCAAATCTAGATCCCCGGAATATTAACTGGGTTTCCAGATTATTAGTCCAGTGCCATCGCTTCCCCTTAAACGGGTAAATTACAGGAACAGATTGCATAAACTAGACTTGTATTCTGTAGAGGGGACCTGGTTAATTGGTGATATGGTACAGATGGAGAAACTACCGGTGGAAGAGTCTTGGACAAAACTGCAACTAGACAACGCAGCAAATCAATTCAGAAAAACTTCTTCACATCAATGGAGTGAAGTCAGGCTGCAGTGACCCTCTGAGGTTAGACAGTAAAGGCGAGTACAGAGGTAAGTATCATAGACCAGGACATGTTCAGCGATCAGAGACTGGGCCCAGTCTGAAAGATGGAAGTTTCCAATTTTGATGAGCAGTTCACGTGGGTGACCTGACTGAGAACCAACCTGAGCTGCCCAGCATACGAAGAATTGCTGATGGAAGTCATTATTATAAAATATGTCAGCTTATTTCCTGGCAGCATCTGAAGCAGTCCACGTCCAAATGCAGCAAAGCAGAATCGGGCTGATAAGTGCCAACTAACATACACATCACACAGTGCCAGAAAATGACCATCTTCATCAAGAGAGAACCTAACCATTGCTCCTTAACACCTAATGACATACCATTGTTGAATCCAAGGATTTACCATTGACCACAAACTAAAAATTGGACAAGCCAAACACAGTGGCTACAAAAGCAGGTCAGAGAATGGGAATCCTGCATCATGTAACTCACCTCCTGATTCCTCAAAGCCTGTCCAGCATCTACAAGGCACAAGTCAAGTGTGTGATAGAATACTCCCTATTTGGCTGGATGAGCTCCAACAACACTCGAAGCACAACAGCATCCAGGACAAAGCAGCCTGCTCGACTGGCACCATATCCACAATCATTCGGTCCCTCCACCACTGATGTTCTGCATCAGCAGTGTGTACCATCTACAAGATGCACTGCAACAACTCCATAAGGCTCCTTAGACAGCACCTTCCAAACCCGAGCCATCTACTGCCCAGATGGACAACAGCAACAGTTACATGAGAACACCGCCACCCACAAGTTCCCCTCCAACCAGACACTATCGTGTCAATGCAACCATATCGCTGTTCCTTCATTGTCACTTGGCCAAAATCCTGAAACTGCCTCCATAACAGCAAGAAGAATGTACCTACAACCTAAACACAGCGGTTCAAGAATCAGCAGCTCACTATGACCTTCTCCAGGGCAGTTACCAATTACCAATAAATGCTTGCCTGACCAGCAAGGACACATTATGGGAAGGAGTTAAAAATAAATAGTTGACATTGTGCATTGTTACATTGTTATTTCCACTGGTAACAGGCTTTCCCATTATAAGTTCAAATCTAACTATTGTTCACAAAGTGTCACCATGCAATGAGGCCACTAACATAAACCTAACAGGGTAAAGTACATAATACAGTGGGAGGGGACATCACATTCCAAAGAACAAATATCAAGTCTATTCAAAACTAAAATACAATGTTAAACATTCTGCTCGTGTCCTGTGGATAAATCCACCAAAGCATTCATCACCAGGGTAATGTTAAGGGTTTCTGTTTAAGTAACACATGCTAGCAACAATAATGTCACTACAACTGGTTTGAAGTTTCAGGAGTTGTGCCAAGCCAATCGTGATCACAAACAAGTATCGCTTTTCTTTCTCCCCCCCAACACTGTACTATAATGGAGGGACTCGTTCGAAATGAATTCTGCAGCAGTTTAAGAAAGCATCTCATCGCCATCACCTCTATGGGAGGGGTTAGAGCAATAAATGCCGGCCTAAAAGCAACATCAACAATCCATGAAAGAGTTTTTAAAAGTTACGTTTAAGTCAGTCTTCTTCCACCGATTGGGTATAATGAAAATCATTACAGAGGAGAACAGGTCGTTCGAAAGACCTCTGCAAAAGATACAAAGAACAAAGTACAAAGTGTTGAAGTTAGATAAAGCGCAACACTCCTTTTATGAAAATCTTACAACGGGAGTGATATAATAGTCACAGAGTCTGCATGTCAAGAGGGTGGTCCTGGGGTACACAGGGTGGCTGGGGCAGGAGGAGATTAGCTTTAGTCCAGAGGGGTATGCATGGGTCTCGGAAACGCTCAAGGACGGTGAATGAGAACAGCCATTCCACAGTGAAGGAAAGAAGGATGGAACCTGGGAAGACAGCACAAAGCCACACAGGAGAACATTGAGCAGGATATCCCAAAATCATTAACCTCTCAAATTCCCTAAGCAGGAGAACTGGCTATTGTGTTTTTTTTTGTGTGTGTAAAGCCAAACGAACCTCTACCTGAAACCACTAATGTTCAGAAAACCACTTGTTAGAAAAGTTAAAATCTTTTGGTTGACCGCACCTCTTTTCTGTGTTTAAGAAGGTGGGAGTTGGTCCACATTTCTCAGTAGCCAGCTGCTAGGTAAGTCCATGAGGTTGAGGGGTTCATTCAGAGAGATCCTACTCGCTTTGTGCCCCCGGGAAATTCTTCCCAAACAAATTCCAGGCCTTTTGTTGATAGGTCAACATGGGACCCTTTGGAGGCCTGTTCATTTGGCTGGGCACTATTCGGACAAATTGGCAGACCATTTGCATACACAGTCTATCTGATAATTGCAATGGGAGTTCTGCAATCAGTGAAGGACATTCCTTAGGGGAAATGGTGTTGGCATGGTAATACCAATGGAGAATTAATCCAGAGGCCTAGGCATATGCTGGGAGCATGGGTTCAAATCCCCCACAGCATCTAGTACTGTTTAAATTCAATTAATTTTTTAAAAATCTGGGATTGAATGCTCAGCTCAGTGGTGACGATAAAGTTGTCATCGATTGTCATCACGGAAGTAAATCTGCCTTCTTGACCTGGTTTGGCCTACATGGCTCCAGATCCAACTGTGGCTGTTTCTTATCAGCCTGCAGAAATGGCTTAGTTCAAGGGCAATTAGGGGTGAGCAACCAATGCTGGCTTTACTGGCAACGCCTACATCCAACAAAAAAAATAAAGACGTGCCCACCATTCAACCATTTGCAGGCCTGTGAGAAATAATCAGGTTTGTGTGTATAATGGGCAGATAGCTCCCAATACCTTCCAATTCTCGGCCCCTCCATAGCCACTCTTTGACTTTCAACTGCTGGGCATCCATCTTCAAGCAAGAATCAAAGTGCTCAATCTGTATCGTGAGATTCTAGTGGTAAGGTTCAACTACAGAATGATAACTTCAAGACGTCTTACCCTGCTGTACCAGGTGCTAGATCTGAAACAAACTGGATCTAGGCTGCTATTATGCTCTAACTGACCTATCAGTCCAAAACAATGGTGGCTGTACAAAACCTAAGTGAGGCAACTTTATAAACAATTAAGCACTGCATTACAAATAATGTCTGCACTTTTGGCCATACAACTGCCAAAAAGACTTGCATTTTCATAGCACCTTTTAATATCTACAGGACATTTCAATGTCCTTATATACCAATGGAGAACGTTTGAAGAGTAGACACTACGGCAACACAGCAACAGCTAGCTCCCACAAGCAGTAAATAAATATAATCGTCAGATCACCCGTTTTAGATGCTATTTAAGGGTGATTAATATCAGCTCAGACACCACAGAGACATCTAGAGCCCTTCTTCCAAATAGGGCTCTCTAATCTAGCAGGTCAGAGGGGGGCTCAGTTTAACATCACATTGGAACAGTGGCACATCCAACAGTGCAATGTTCCCTCAGTACTGCAGCCTGATTTTCACACTGCAGTCAATGAAGCAGGACTTTATAAAAACAATTTTTAAAACTTTAAAACATTTTGAAAAAAGATTGCCCACCAAATGAGTACTCACTTTATGCTGCTGGATGAGGATTTCCCGTGCAGCGTTGAAGATGAGAGTATGCAAGTTGCTGGAGTAAAAGGCTAGTGTGTAGTCGTAGTCGAAGCCATAAATCTCAATGTCAGACAGACAGACCTCATTGTTGGCAAATATTCCATCCGGATTTAGGAAATTCAATCTCCCTGGAAAGGTCAAGTCTGTGAAAGGGAGGGTGCAAAAGTAACGTTAGATACAATTCCTATAAAAGGGATGCACCACACAGGAGAGATGACGGAACAGTGTTATCGTCGTTGGCCTCGTAATGCAGAAAGCCAGCCTAGTGCTCAAAGAACACAAGATTCAACCCCACTCTGGCAACCAGCAAAAGTTCAACTCAATGAATAAATCTGGAATTGAAAGCTAGCCTCATGGTCACTAATATTGAAACATTCACTGGCCATCATAAATGGTTTACTACTTTAGAAAATTTGTCGTTCTTACCTGGTCTGGGAAACAATTTTTTTTTCCTATTCATTCACGGGATGAGGGTATCACTGGCTAAGCAGCATTTATTGCTCATTCCTAATTGCCCAGAGGACAGTTAAGAGTCAACCACATTGCTGTGGGTCTGGAGTCACATGTAGGCCAGACCAGGCAAGGATGGCAGGTTCCTTCCCTAAAGGACATCAGTGAACCAGATGGGGTTTTCCTGACAATCAATAATGGATTCATGGTCATCATTATTTCCTCTTAATTCCAGATATTTATTTAATTCAAGTTCTACCATCGGCTGTGGCAGGATTTGAACCCGGGTTCCCAGAACATTATCTGGATTTCTGAATTAACAGTCCAGCGAAAATACCACTAGGCCATCGCCTCCCTTCATGACAATGACAACAATGTTGGCTCCTAACTGCCCCAACCTCTGAACCCGAGAGTGGGAGGCAGTCCAAGCCCAGACCGGCCTGGGAGACAATTCCTGGAGGTGGGTCCAGGCCCCCGGAGGCCAGCTCATGGACACAGTGAGGCCTTATGTTCTGAAGCTCAGCGGGCACAGACCCGGTGAAAAGGACTAAAAATTGAGTTCTTTTTAAAAGATGTTTTTGTTCTTATTCTGGACTTTGAGTAAGTCAAGTATATTTTAAAGACTTTGTATTCCTGTGTTAAACTTTTTTTTTAAACTCTTTCAATTCCGTAACAAACGCTTCAAGTATCTGTACCTAGCACCTAAGATGGCAACATTACAAACTTTTCACTGCACTTATTCGAGTTCACATGACAATAAAGGCTATTCTATTCTAACAGGCTTAGCAAGGCACTCAGTTCGAGGGTAATGAGGGATGGATAAAAGCTGGCTCTGCCTGCAATGGCCACATCCAGTAAATATACATGACGAGCAAGTGAGGTCAGATCAGCCATGATCCAACCGAATGGTGGAGAATAACCAACGCCTGCTCCCATGTTCTTCCTTTCACTTCATTCACAGGATGTGGGCACCACTGAGTGAGTCAGCAGTTACTGCCCTTCCCCAACTTTTGCAGTCCATGTGCTGTCGATTGACCTATAATGCCATTGTGAAGGAAATTCCAGGATTTTTACTCAACAACGTTGAAGTAACGGCAATATATTTCCAAGTCAGGACTATGAGTGGCTTGGAGGTGAACTTGCATGTGGCAGTATTCCCATGTTTCTGCTGCCCTTGTCCTTCTAGATACCGGAGATCATGGGTTTGGAAGGTGCTGTCTGAAGAGCCTGGGTGAACTGTATTTTTAATATGGAATAACAGAGCCCCCAGAAAATAGGAAAACCAGAGAGTGTGTTAATGAAGGGGAAGGGAGAGAAGTGAAGGTACACTGATCACGTTAGATGACATAGAATGGAATCATTGTCCAAATGGACTATTACTGTGCTGCTATCCCTATGCATTGAACATAATTTACTTCAATTCCAGACTTCTTTTCACTTAGCGTTTAATATTCAGCTGAACGAGGATGGCTGGACTGTCAAAATGCTAGCATTCAACTGAGTACAGATGGCATGCCTGTGAAGTATAAACACACATCACGATTAATCATATTTCCCCACCCTTTATCAAAACACCGCAAAAGAGGAACAGACAGAGAGAACCTATTTCTGCCAGTTAGGAAGTGTAAAGCTAGGATTTGCAGTCTAAAAATTAGAGCCAGACCTTTTAGGAATGAAATTAGGAAAGATTTCTGTGCAAGTGCTCGCATTCTCTCCCCACCCTCACACACTTGTGCTCTCTCCCTCCCTCCCTCACATACACGCGCGCTCATGCTCTCTCCTCTCTCCCTCCCTCACATACACGTGCTGTCTTCTCTCTCTCTCTCTCCCTCTCCCTCACACGTGTGCTTATGTTCTCTTCTCCCTCTCTCTCACTCCCTCCCTCCCTCACACACACATACGCGCTCATGCTCTCTTCTCCCTCTCTCTTTCTCTCACACACACACTTGCTCTCTCTTCTCTCCCTCTCTCTCACACGCGCTCGCTTCTCTCTCTCCCTCCCTCACACACGCTCGCACTCTCTTCTCTCTCTCCCTCCCTCACATATGCTCGCACTCTCTTCTCTCCCTCTCCCTCCCTCACATATGCTCTCTTCTCCCTCTCTCTCCCTCACATATGCT